CATCCTGTGTTTTCTTAAATCAGTCGAGTGGCAATTTACGTTATATCCGAAAATACTTGCGACTTATGTCTATACTATCATTTGTGATCAGAGTGTAGCGCTGACTGGATTCGCTTACAAGGGCGAACATTGTTATAATGTTTACTTACATATTATTGAAAATGTCAAAGATTCAACCGGAACGCTAAAGGGTCAAATGTGGTAATATTATAGTACCGTGTGAGCTACCATTTCGAGGCGTGTGATCGCAGCATTATATACGGCACACTCGTAAAGGGGTTTTGGCGAACGGCGTTCATATATTAGAATATTATATGTAATATGTTATAATAATGTTGCCCGGTGATACCAGCTTGTGCTTAATAATTATTATTACTATTATTATCGTTGCGGGCACGGGTAATCTGATGAGCACGAAACGTTTGGGTCGCGTTTAATTATTCATTACCGTCGTATGTACATATACCGTGTGCAGAGCTATAACTTGTGTGTGTGTGTGTGTGTTTTGGTGTTTTGTTTGGCCGCGTCGTCGTGGGATTTGCGTGACTGAAAACGCCGCCGAGTCGTGTGTATAAACCGTATAGGTACAGGTAGGTACATTACACATACATTGCATCGTTCTGTGTATAATATGGTATGACCGGTGTAGGTCGAATTGCATGTCGCGTATGTAGTCAGGCGTCGGTCGTATCAGCACTTTGAATTATTTCACCTCTGGGACTTACTGTAACGTGTCTAATGGCATTTATACGGCCACATCATTATGTTGACTTTTTGCTCTACCCGGTCTCACGTCCCGGACTAACCGCGTGTGTAATTTTTTTTTTTTGTCTCATACACGTATTTTGGTTTTAATTTAGCCCTTTGAACGCTCGCATACTCACACACATCTCTGCGGCGTCCATTAGAATGTCATTATCATTAACCTATGACCGTTTATCCGACCGTGTATCTCGGCCACATCGGATAACATAAAGTAAAGGGGTGCACTTCGATTAATTATTATCATCCGCCCGGCTCCTCCCTCCCCTCTCGCTATAGGACAACGAAGCCATAGTCCATATATTAGAGTGTATTATAGCCGTAAGCGTATTATACATTTTATACAAAAATCGGCGACTGATGTGCTCTGGTTCATGCGTGCGGGCGGTAATTAGTATAATGATTCTTTTCGTTATCAAAAATGTATAAACGTGGGTGTGTGTATGGTTCTCTTTTTGATTTCTGTTGTTATTTTATTATACGGTCGTATTTTTTTTTACAGTATCTGCGCTAAGCCAACAACCGTTAATTATATAGAACTTAATCTAATTACTTCTCGTTAACATTGTTCGTGTTAGCGTCCCATCCGCACCCGCGGTCTATGTGCACATTTATAACTGTGTACGTTACAATACAATATTCTACAAAGCAAAAAAATTACTCAAACCGAACCCTGCTAATCGGGTTTCAATCAATTATTTTTATATATAATATTAAGAACTGTGGAAAATGAAGTCAACGAACAAACACTGTAATATATGTACCTACTCGTATCTATGATATTTGAACAACATACAACAGAATTGATTACACCTATCGAGCATGTAGTGGTCAGAGATATACCGGGAAAAATCTTTAGACCGTCCCGAGAATGTAAGATTTATAATAATTTAAGTAGTAAATGTTAAACACCCCTAGTTAAATTTTCGCCAGTAGAAAAATTAGAAATATTGCTGGTTCGGAGGTGACTAATCAAAGACTGCGAGATAATGATAATATATAACGGAGAGAGCGAATAGTTATGGATGTACAGAAGTGAAGACGGCGCGGCGGTGGGTCTTAAAGGGCTGAAATAAGCCATAAAAAACTGTATAGACCTAGTTGATCCAACCCTAACAAAAATAGTTCAGACACAGGAAGAAATATATCAACTCACCGTTAAAAAAAAATAACATCTATGCGGGTATACTCGGATTAAATATGTCCATGAATAATGTTAAAAAACTAACAAAGAAGTATCATCATTGATGAATGACGATTTAATGTTATGGCTTGTTTAAACCTAAAAATGATAATCATAATATATTATTATGTTCGTGCGTCGTTGTAGGCGACAATAAAAACATATTATTGTCGTGTGCCGGCGCAAAAAACAATAAAAATAATGTATAAAATATTCGATAAACTAACTAAATATAAAATAGCAATAATGCATTTACAGGCTACAAGTATTACTATATACTCGTAATAAACACAGTCCAGTAATTAATCGCTGCTGTTCGATTATGGTGGTTTGTTTTATTTTATTTGACAATAATCAAACAAATTAAAAAATATCTTAAATATTTTTGTTTCCCGCATGTATCCGTTTTGGGTAAGGTACCTGTTATCTATAATCTGTTATCTATCATAACGCGGCTGTGGCATAGAAATGATTAAAATAATAATATATTGCCAGGACACAATATATTTGTTTTTACTATAAGTCGTTATCAAGGATAAAGTTATACAAACGAGGGTCGTGCGCTCTATGTACCGAACAAATAAAATGCGGAAACAACACTTTGGCGGGGGTCTATGCTGTTCATTTGTTTCCGTTCCGCTATATATTACGGGGATTAAGTTGTAAGTCGAATGAAGTGGAATTTTCCACCCATTATTTGTTCTCTCTCATTTTCTTTGTTACATCTCTCCCTCGAGGAGTCCTTTATACAAATCGAAAAAACGTGATACGACGTGTATGCCTCGTTCGAATACTAATGAATTATTGAGCGTTCTCCAGGTTATACTTTATAAACACCTTAAGGTTGTACGCTATTATTGTAGTTTCTTTGGATGCGACATTGAATTTTGGCAGAAGTTAAAACATAAGAAATCTCAATAGAATGTTTTTGATTTTTAGGGTGGCCGGTAGAATTAAAAAAAAAAAAAGGTTTGATTCCTTTTTATTTTTTTTTTCAGTGGAATAGTTACTCATAGTTGCTTTTGTACATGTACATTTAAAGACATAAAATCACTCATTCCACTGCGCGGGGAAATGGTTGAGAACCTACTACTAGATGCCTTGCGATTAATTTTATGGGATTATCTCACGAAGGAAAAGTTTACATATTTGCCTCTTTAATAAAATTTAACAAAAATGAAAATGACATTATGTAATTGATCTTTGGAAAAAAAATGTAATTAAATTTCGTTTAAAACTAAAAGATTTATTGATTTTGAAAACGTTATACCTGTCTGCCGGACGCTGAACTAAATATTTAACATCTAACGATATCAATCAATCAATTTAGGATAATTATATTTTTTAAATAATAAAATCGCAACGCTTTCTTACTTTTTTTTGCTTTCTGTAAACTGACAATCAATTAGTTACCATCAGTACTTGTTAACACTTTCAATAATAATAAAAAACAAGGGTTAAGAATTTTTTAGTTATATAAATTATGGCTTATGCTACACTATTTTTAAAAAACAAATCAGATAGTCTACACCAACTGAATTATAAATTAATATAATTTGTTTTATAATTTTCGAGCCCATGAGAATCACATTGTACGTAAGTCAAAGGCTGTGTAATCTTTTAAATATTAAGTGAATTAGGAAGTTGAGTACCGTTTTGCTTGGTAAAGCTACTATATGCTAGTCTGTCACGTCGTGATGGTTAGGTCCGCGAGATTACAAACGATTGTGATGAAATTTAACCATCTATCTCGTATACATACTACAATGTAATTATAACTTTTCGATTTACCTGTCTCGGCGGTAAGTGAGTTAATGTTTTTCATCATGCCTTTCTATATGCCGGTGACACAGCGTACAAAATACGAATGTATAATAATGATAAAGAGGCGTGGTCGGTGAAAACCAGCCAACAGTGTTGGAGTCATTTTTCAAATCTTGACCTCGATCAAATGCGCGACCCTTTTCATCCCGACAAATATCATCCCTTTTTCTTCACAACTCATTCGTGCATACATACACATTTACTTAAGCCGTAGCCAAACCTCCACTAGCCCAAAAATCTGTATGCGTGCCATGAGCACCCGGAAACGTTGCTGCACATGTAAAATTCAGTTATCTTGGGTCCTGGTTCGAACATATTATTTTCTCATTTTCTGAGACATAACCGTGAACTCGTAACTGCATGTATTGGACGTTACAAGACCCGCGACTTCGGTTTCTTGAGCCAAGGTCCGGTTGATGGTTTTGTATGTTTTAAGGCGGCTCAAACACACACTATGTATGATATAGGTACACACAACTTACTACTCATATAAGATATTTTGTTATTTATCGAATATTGATAGTGGAAATTCAAATATTATTCAATTATAATCTTACTAAAATCTATTTAGATGTACTCCGCTGTCACATAATGTAAAATTGATGTTTATAATACGAGCGATGGCTTGAAATATCAATGATTATTAACGATAATTAAGTTTTACAATGAGGGTGGCTTATAAGCTCGATTGATTCAATGAATACTGCATAACTATTTTGTTTCGATCAAAGTCTTTTTGTTGAGCTATATTTCGGTCAGGGCAGGCCAATTGGATTTGCATACCTATACAAATGTTCAACGTTCCTAATGATCCCATACAGCATTACGGGTTAAAATGGAAACGGAGCAGCTACGCGAGTCGAAATGCCAATGCGGAATTTTGATTTGCAAATGGCTCGGACGGGTTTTTAATTCCATTTTTAATCCGTTGTAAATCGTTAACTTACGACAAAATTTGTTTTGACTTGACCGGCTGCATCTCACGCCACTAACATTTGTTTAACAACTGTTGATGTCGGCCGTACCACGTGGAAAAAAACTCAAATGTTATTTTGTTTTGTTCTATAGTCTGTAATATTATATACATAACTGGCCTTGTGTATGCAAGAAAACCATGGGTGATTATTAATAAACAATCATTACCGTGAATCCATCCGTCCTTTTAAGATTCGTATGTTTTTCAAGACGCTCAATTTGTATTAAACCAAAGTGTTCTTATAGGGTTTCAGACATGAGTATTTTCCCCCAAGTGTATGCTTCTGTCATCGGTAAGTGTGCATGGTAGTTTTGATATTGTTTAAGTATTTATACAATTTTTATTTGGATGGCAGCCACCCTAGGCGCTTTAGCAATGGGAATCATTATTGGATGGTCTTCGCCCGCTGAGGAGATGTTGGAGAAAGGAAAGTTCGATTTGCCTTTTAAGGTTACCGTCTCGGATACACAATTGTACGGGTCTATGTTTGGTGTTGGTGCCGCTTTTGGAGCGTTGCCAGCAGGTTATATCGGCAAATTATTGGGGCGCTGTCTGAGCATGGCGGTATTTGAAATGTTCCTGGTCTTTGGCTGGATTTGCCTGACCTTTCCAAAAGGGGTGTGGATGTTGATCGCCGGTCGTGTACTGCTGGGTATCGGAGTTGGAGCCCTGTGCGCTGTTATACCGTCGTATGTCGGCGAAATATCTCAACCCCACGTCAGAGGTGTGGTCATCTTTTATTTTGTACAATGCATCGGCTTTTCTACATTATCATAATTAGGTTTCTAAAAATGCCTAAACGATTGGAACCCATACAATTGGAACGAAAAATGTTGACGGTATTCAACGTTCAGTCCCGCCTCATAGAAGTTACAGTACCAGCAGTAGTTATTACTACCACCAATGTTGTAATAGATTTTGAAAAAAACTAACATTTGGTTCGACTTTCATTGTACAATGAGGACATTTTTTTATTGTGTTACTTCAATAATATTATATAATGCAATTATGCATTGTTATGTTGCATATTATGCAACATAACGATAACAGATATTCTTATAGCTCCTAGTCTCTGACAATGTAAAATTGTAGCTTCTATCTCTAGTATTTAAGTGCTCGAGAGCTAGTAAAAGCTAAAATTATTTTAATCTAAATGTTTTTAAAAAAAATGTAATAATCACTTTATTTAGGTTCTTTGGGTTCGATGTTTCAAGTGTTGGTAGTCACGGGTATACTGTATTCATACTCGTTAGGCGCGGTACTTAAGTACCAGCTTTTCAACTTTTCCTGCGGGATATGGTCGGTAATTCACATGATCGGCGTAGCTTTCATACCGGAGTCCCCTTACTATTACCTAAATAAGAACAAAGTCGAAAAGGCAGAACAGTCTTTGAAGAGACTGCGAAGTGCAAACGAAAACACGTCCGTCGAACTGGTCGAATTGAAAGTAACATAAATTAATAGATATGAGGGTTAAGGAATGAGGATTTAATAAATGTATAGATAGACCAGTTAGCAATGCAACCAGTGTGTTAATTTGTATTTCATGCTCTATCGCAGAAAATCATCGATGAACACAATGCGGTGAAGCACAGTTTCTTACAAGTTATGTCAAACAAAGCAAACCGGAAAGCTTTGCTCATCGGAATGGGCTGCATGTTCTTCCAACAGTGCAGCGGTGTCAACATGGTGGTGTTTTATATGAAAGATATATTCGATTCGACCGGAAGCAAGATCAGTTCAAACACATCGTCTATTATTGTTGGATTCGTTCAGGTCTGTATCAACTAGTAGTAATATTGTAGTAAAATGCAATAACGAACTATTTTCATAGTTTTAACTACGATTTTGCAAAATACAAATGCATATAAAATGCATGACAAACATAGTGGTCATCATAGAGTATAACAGTCTCTCATTGCGATCACAGGTCTTAATTACTAAATTGTTCTGACTGTACCTAAGAATAAAATTCCTGATAAAAACGATTAGAATTTGTAGAAAATAAAAATATTAATTACCAATAAAAACATTGTGGTGTCAGGTTTTATAAAATCGTGTCATTGTAATTTTAGCTTTTTATCAAAAAAAGTTTGGATAAGAAAATGTATAAGAGTTTTTACAAAATAGTTTTGAATTAGCCGTTCTTAATTAGTAATTGTGTCGTAGCCGAAGAGATAAATGCGGCAATCACTGTGCTCTCACATTCGCTGTTAGTGAATCTCGGTCGTTGGCCGTTTCTCCCACTGGGGGGGGGGGAGCAAGGGTAACCGCCTGGAGAAAAAAATGGCCACCCGACTGACCCACACCGGACCATGTCTTATTACAACAGTTGTGATCCAACCTATAAGGTTGAAAAAAATACTCGCATTCACATTACGGATAAAGAAATTGTAAAAAATATACTAAAAAAAAATTTTCAGCCGAGTCTGCAACCACGAAAGAGCATTTTCATGTCTCGTTGAAGTACTAAATAAATTTTGCGTGCTACAACACATAATTTAAAAAAATTAACATCTCCATTCACGTCAAACTAATTAATTAGTTTCTTGTTCATATAACTTAGATATTTTAATTAAAAATGAGTAACATTACACAGAGCTATGCAAAAAAAAAAAATTGCAAGATGACAACACACAATTAAGTAATTCAAGCCAAAGTTTAGTTAAATAGTTTATTAGCAATCTCCAAGTACATACATTTGCTCACAAACACTTCAACAATAATTTTACAAATAATCAGCTCGGACAAGCTTGCTCTATCTGTAATAGACTTTGGTTTTAAAAAGATTTAGGTCAGCGCTCACGGTATCTTCTGTCGTAACTAAAAACAGTATAAAATTACAAGCCAGTGGGCTATCTATATTATTTATAGACCCAATAGACTCAGATGCTGCGGGTATTATTAATAATAAAAATATATTTATAATCAATGGTTAAACCAACTATACATTTAGTTGGGCCAACTATTTATTCAGTCATTTCAAATATAATTTGATTGTGTCCTTAATCCTTATAATAGTAACCATAATTATTACAGTGGATCCGAATGTATAGTATAAACGTACAGACTATATTTTTTGGTTATAGCGATTAATAATGGATTTTGAATGAATGCAAATCATTGTTTGATTTCAGCTCTTTATGACGCTTGTTACAATGGCGATAGCAGACAAAGTAGGACGTCGGATTTTGTTGATCGGTTCGGGCTTGTTAATGGGCTTTAGTTATCTTGTCATGGCCCTCTATTACAAGGTTTACCAGAATAGCGCCTCAGCGGTCGCCAATTATCACTGGGTGCCTCTGGTAGCGATTGCCTTGTACGTTTCGGCATTCTCTTTGGGCTTCGGTCCTATACCTTGGGTGGTCATGGGTGAAATTTTCTCCAACGAAGTAAGTGCCGTTATGCTTATAACTTGCTGTCCGCCAACGGCTAAGACAGTGGATTATAAATGTTATAACGTGTCATCGATTACGGTGCATTAACCATGTTTTCGTTTTAGGTGAAACCGTACGGTACTAGCATTGCAACTTTCACCAACTGGTTTTTAGTTTTCTGCGTCACATACATGTCGCACGAGCTAAAGAAATGGGTTGGTAATGCCGGCACGTTCTTTACGTTCAGTATGTTTTGTTTTGCTGGTGCTCTGTTTGCGATACTAATGGTACCAGAAACCAAAAGTCGGACTCTGGCTGAAATCCAGGCACAACTGACCGGTGACACGTAAATCAGATTCCCCCACTCTCTCTAGTGTTTATTTTTAATTATGTCTAATTAATAATAATATTACCTTGCAAAAACCATAGTGCGTTAGTTTTATTTGAACAGAGAAAGAACCATTAACAATGGACCACTTATAACTAGATGTTACATGAATAATATACCGTTGAGCCACACACGCTAAATTGTTATTCTTCATTCAATAAAACGGTAACAACACACTACGTCACAAGTACAACACAACTTTTGCAGGGAACTTTACCACTATCCATTTATACTTAGTTTATTTTATTATAAACTCACCAATATGTAATTATTAATACTTGTTTTAGATTTAGGTATTATAATTAATGACCATGTACCATATAAAATTAAAAAATAGTAAATTATCAAACAAATACCAATTCTTGAATATTATCAGATATTATGATGTGTTCAAGAAAATTTCAAAAACAAATTAAAAAATCTTAAAATTAAAATATCATTATTTTACCTAATGAACTGAGAATGGGCAGTGCAGATACGAGCTTTCATCGCAAAGATTATCCCGTTCTAACTTTCAAACTCTAATAACATTATAAAAGTAATGACTCAAAACTGGTCATCGACCCGATTACATGTTCAGTAATATATGTTTCTATGTAACTTTCAAAATTTGATATAAAAATAATTGATTTAAAAGGGGATAAAAATATGTTGTTAAAAATTGAGATTAGATTGTATAAAAAATAACAGAAAAAAAATCACTGTATAATCAATGATCATTATTAATTACATGTGAATGTATGTATATTGTGCATAGTATTATTTAAATTTATAGTATAATGTATATCATTTTATTCAAATTAATAATATTAAATATAATTTTAAAATGTTTAAAACTGTCCGGTTTAGTTCGAACACCAGAAATGAGCACACACCTTCCGTTTTTACAACACTGAACAGTGAACACCGAACACGGAACAAAAATCAATATTCAGTTCAACTATTCAGTTTTCATTCCGTTTCCGTGTACGGTGTTCGAACTACACCGAACACTGTTCACTGAAAAATAAAACTGTAGTGTGTAGATACGAGGAGAAAAACACTTCATTTAGAGCACCTCGTAAATCACAAATATCATATGATATATTTTTAGTGTATACATTTCCAACCATTTTGCGTTGCAAAAGTTGAATATTATCTTTTACTTTCTGCATTTATATGTGTAAAGTATATATGCACACGGATTTGATGGGAACGACAACGCGTTAAGTTACAAAGACTCGGCTAGAGGAAAAGTCACGGGGAGGCAGCACGGTGGTATATGAGGAGAGTGGAAAAAACGAGCAGAGGTAGGTATAATATAGAGGCAGTGGCGGCGACGGCGAGCCCTTGTCAGTGTAGGTGTGGAAGAAAAACCGCAAACATACATACAGATATATGGGACATGGGATAAAACACTGGGCCGTTGCACATATTATTATATAGGTTTATACTGGATATATGTATATAATAGCGGTGTAGACAGAGAGTAAACCACTGCGGCGGCAGGTCCGCGTTGCGGTTAGTCAAAAGCCGTTTTGTGGGAGGAGTGTGTCCGGGGCGCCGCCTCCCGTTCGACGACGAGCTTCCTGCGGTGCCGGGGCCGCCGCCGTGCATTACCGTCCCGAACGGATTATCGTCCGCCACCGACAACGGCACAGCAGATCACCAAGCGACACGCTCATTTATACAATTCCCGTTATCGCGGACGGGCCACCGACGCATCCCGGTTGTCCCGCTAACGTATCGCGTGCACCTGTCGTTGTCTCTCTACTACGCTGTTGTGTCCATCCACCATCATTGTGTGGCCGAATATCACTATCCGCACTATCGTTGCACCAACATCACTCCATCCGGACATTTGCGGCCTCCCGTCGTACGATTGTTTCATCGGCCGTGGCCGCTGCCATGGAAGTATCCGTGTCCGCCGCGCCAATAGACTTTAGCGTTTCCGTCAAGCGAACGTCGCTCGACCGGTGCTCGTCGTCGTCTTCGTCGCCCACCGCGTCGGCCGCCGGTGCCGTCGGATCGCCCCAACCGTTGCCGGCGGTACGGCCTCGTCCGCCGTCTGGACTGCTCGAATACATACAGCTTCAACACGGCACGGCCACCACCGGCGGAACGGCCGCCGACAACGACAACGGACATCGTCGTCATCATTACCCACAGTATCACCACCACGGCGGCGGTGGTGGAGGAGGAAGAGGAGAAGGAGGAGGCGGGAACAGTGCGTTTCAGCTGGTTACGCCGAAATCAAACCACAACGGTAAATCTATTATAATTGATTAAATTGTTAAACTCGTGAAAATTACAATATTAAATCGGACATTTAACTAAGTTGCTCTAAAAATCATAGTTTTGTTCGATGACCCTAACTGGTTTATCTTGGCTCGACTGACATAGTAAAACATTAAAAATATATTGTGTTAGTATATTCGAAAATAACTATCATTTGGCAAAAACTAACTTTAAGATCACCTCATGGCCAAGTTAAAGTGACAGGGATGGATATTTTGTGTAATTATACAGCTATCTTATAAAATCTGACTAATTAAATCGCTATTATGCTCAATATTTTTTACACTCATACTTATTTAATATATTTGTGGTAAGAACTTGAAAGATCTTGAATAAATAGAGATAGTCATAACAAACCAGACAATAACATAACATAAATAAACAAACCTCAGATTAGTATGAAACAAACAACGATAACTTATATTATGCTGTGGCCGATGACATGATGTCAATAGACGATAACTAATAATAACGATTACTTAAAAATCAAATAAAAAACAAAAATATGAACGGCGAGACAATATGTCTTTCATAGCGCAACGATAACCGCCGCCCGTTTTCCAATTCGGAATTCCCCTTGCACACCACGCCCGGCAAGATGAGACAAATTCCACATTGTCTAATACTTATTCTTATACTATAACGAAATGTTTACTTTTATTGGCCCGCCGGACACCGCCAGCCTGCGTCCACAACTATACTATTCTTTAACAATGAAAAAAGGTTTTGGAAAAAAAAAATATATTTTTTCATTAAAAGTTTTAATTTAAATATAATAATTAAACAATTATTCGTTCATAATTCAAGTGGGTAGACATTGTCTCATTGTCTCCCATGATGCTTCGCCACTGGAATCCTCAAGCTTCCGTCTATAATAATTAACAATAATTATAAATCAACGAATGTCTAGATTTGAATACACGAAAAATATACATAGTTAGACCAACTGAAATTATAGTTAATACACAATACATTTCTAGTTGAAATAACTAAATAAATAGTTGCGCCAACTAAACATTTAGTTGGCCGAATTATGTGTTTACTAATTAATTATTCCAACTATAAATTAATTGAGTTCATTATATTAACCATAATTTTTGTTGGTCCAACTGTGTATTTGTTTTCAGTGTGACAAGTTTTGTCGTTTATGTTCTTGATAAATGTATCTAAAAGAGCTTAGGTTTTTAAATTGATCTACCTTCTATACACCACAACTAGGTTGTGAATTAGGTATGGTGACTATATAGTAAACAAGTATATAGTGTGATTCAATAATAATAATTCACTTATTTTCTTAAAAAATAATATTCTTTTTTTTTTTTAGACACTAGTATTTATGTTATTTTACAATATTAGACAATATTCAATTTTTATTTTTTTTAAAGCTTTGTCATCGTTTAAAACTAAAATGGGAACCTATATATTTAATAAACTTTTTAAACCAAAAATTATTTGCTGAAAATGGTGACTGGTCGATAGTTAATATTACTATAATTGTTACCAAAGTAAAAATTTAGGACAGGAGGTGAAGCGCGGTAGCATAATGCCCGCAGATAAAAATAGTACTTTACTCAGTAAACCCCCTTCATCCCGTCCTAAATGTTTTATCTTTAGTAACGTGTAACTTTAAAAGTAATGAACCTAGGTACATTGTTTATCGACTGCAGTCAACATTTTAGTATATAGTTTTTAATTAATAATGTTAATTACATATTTACGTTACCATACAACTTTCAAAAGTTAGTGCACTGTAATACACTAAAAATGGAAAATAATTAGTAATTTAAAAAAATTGTAAAACACCTAACATTAAAAAAAAATGATTTTGTATCTACATAAAACATGTACAAAACTGCAATTATTTTAAGAAAATTATTATTTTATTTAATAATAATCTTAAATCAGCCTGAATTTTCAAATCACAATTATTATAAAACTATATGACAGGATACTAAACAAATGTATATAGTATAGTATACAACCGAAGTACATTTATTGTAATTATAGCAGCTTACAGCTAATGTTCAATAGTTATTTTACAATAAAATATGACCGAGTGATGAATATTATTTAAAAGATATTATAGCACAAAGGACTAATTTCATATGTTTATAAAACGTTCAATATAATAGTTTATTGCTATGAAAAGTATCATTGTCGACTTTAATAAATTCAAAGCTAAAACTAAATTGTCATTATTATTACAATTATGTTTGTATTATTTTTGTTAGTAATATGTGTTCAAATATCTCTAAAGGTATATAAATAAATATATACATAGGCAATTTTTTGCGAAATATTCATTTAAAGCTAAAAATCTTGTGTAAGTATATTTATTAATATATAGGTTTGGGGATTCTTTTTTAGCCATTAATTATTTTATCAGACCCTCACAGCGCCCTTTGCCGCGTTCTTAACTATTTTTTATAGGTTAATTTGGCTGCCCAAAACGTTTTACTCGGCCTATGTTGGTTTTAGAGAAAAATAACTTATTAGAAAGTACATTAAATATTTTCTTAAAGTTAGAGCGAGCGCCGTATTATGTTTTCAAATTGAAAAATATGTCAATTTGTCTGGTGTTTTTCTTGATTTCGAAGGGAGGAGGGTTGAATTTGTAGACTTATACTAGGTACATTGATGTACGATTTCCTGATCTTTAAATATGTAAATAAATACATTTGTACAGTAGTGAAAACATTATAAATTATAATGTATTTATGCATACAGTCGGAGTATCGCAAAAAGCTCCGGCCAACATTTACAATACTATTTAGAACTGAATGGTTTTCTAAATAATTAAATTCATTATTATATATTAAACAAATTTTTTTTATCCCTTCTGAAACAATTACAATCCATAAACTGTTTAGTAAAAAACAATATATTTTTTGCTCAGCGTGTAAGCTATTTTGTAAATACTTCGTTTGTACTGACTACTGATAGTTACTAATACATAGTAATAATTATTTGTAAACGTGCTTATCTGGTTGTAATATTTCTTTAGTTGTATAAGTATTATATTAGTAGGTATTGTAGCGATAGTTTTTTGCCTGACATATTATTGGCAATAATAATATTCCTCAATGCACTGCATTGCACCGTAACAGTCTATAAGTACAAACAATAATAAACATATCTAATGCAAACCATTTAGGTACACATAATAATATTTGCATTTGATCTTTGCGCATGCTGTTAATTCGGGTCGAACAAAACACCACACGAACCTTTCCCGCCGTTTAAGCCAAAAATCGTCTTATTAATAAAATGATTTGCACAAAACCTGCATTGTGTGCAGGTCTGAACTGAATTATCTGTACACGCAAATGATACTCAGTGTTAGAATCTGGTTTACTATGATAGTATTATGGCTCCAACTATGTCAATGTACGTCAAAGCTGTTAATTGTTATATCATAATACAATACAGGAACGGTGTACTTTAATAAATCTTAATGAACCGAAAAACCATACTACTATTACCATTAGGATAATGATAATGGTAATGATTTCGCATCGGATTACGCCCGTATGATGCTTCTGCGTTATGTTCTATAAGTTTATAATAATATAAACACGCATTGGTGTTTGTTCGCGTTTAACGACCCCCCCCCCCCTCCACAATTCACGGTTAAGTAGTAATAATAATACATCGGTTAAATTAAAAACACAAAAATTAATAGCGTTTCTCTATAACACTAAAGGAATAATAATAATAATAATAATAACAATAAAGATATACACACCTTTTAGGCTCGTTACGCCACTTAAGCCCCGATGGGTTCGGATTACTGCGGGACGAAACGGCTTCACCGAGTGTATACATTATGTTGTACATAGATGCCACTAAAATCATAAACTATTACATTTTTTGTCTGTTTATTTCGACACGTTTTTTTGAGTTTTCGGGTAGTCTCACTTCCTCTCTCTGGCGAGGCGACGATCTGTAGAAAGAATCCACTATATCCTCTGTCATGGAACGGCAGAAATGTTCTGATGATGCTCAAAAAATTCTGCCATAACGGTGAAAACCATATAAAAAAAAAAAAAAATCAGTATAGACAGATAAAAAAGTAAAACACCAACATTTTTCTGTTGTTACGCCTGCTATAAAACAATATGACGTGTAATGTGTTTGAAAAGTTACTAAAAAACGATTGAAACTTTGATGTCACATTATTTATTCCAAGGAAAAGTGTGTTCGATATCTCGGGAAAATATTTTTTTAACATACATGTTCACCAAAGAAGTAAACTATTGAATGACATCGTATTTTGTATCATATGTCATTTAAGTAAATATTTGGCAAATCTTTTAATTCTCTGTTGTCTTTCAAGCATAAAAAGCCACATTATTTTATACAGTGCAGCAGAAATTAATTAAGTTAATAAGCTGCTCATTAAATCAATTTTTTTAATCAGTTTGTTGAGATTTTAATTTCAAAATAAATCAGCAACTGCTATTAGGTAATTGTTTGGGTGAAACATTAAAATTTGTATAGCTTCAATAATTTTTCAATAATACCGTTTTCACAAGACATGGGGGCATAATAATATCATAATTATAACAGTTCTCTTAAAATATCCTTATACTAATTACATATATATATTTATTTTTTTTTAATTTTATTTATTTAACTATAAAAAATAGTTTACGCCCATGGGGCAATAGAGTACAGGATAATATTTTTTTTAAATTAATTATAAATAATTACAATAACACTAATTAAAAAATTATACAAAAATAATTAAACGACATTATTAAGAATCATTTTTAACCTGGCTAAAGGAATCTTAAATAAATCCAAGTTGTAATCATGTACTGCTTTATTAGAAGCCATTAACATGCGATTTACCGGAGAATAATAACTAATTTTGTTTGTAGGAGGATATATGAAATAATTGGTTTGAGCGTAAGGAAAAGGAAGGAGCATTAAGAGAAACAATATTTAATATTTCAGGACAGTCTA